GAGGAAAATTTCGCCCCCCCTTATTTAGGTATTTCAATTTAAAAGACCAAAATTCAGTTTTGTCACAGAACAAGCAATGAAAAATTCGGTGGTAGTGCAGCGACTTGTTTAAAATAGTTGTATTAAATATTAGTGGTGTATATGAACGCCAATGAATCGTAAAAACAAAAAAAAGGGTCAACAGGTTTCACAGGATTTCCTCGGATGAAAAAATTACTAGTTCACCCGGACGGCGAGCCGATTTTTGGACTGTCCGGAAGATAGCACTATCGTAGGAGCGATGCACGTATAGATTAGGATGTTTCAAATTTTTACAAGATATTATTATTTATTGTGAAATTTTGCCGCTCCCTAAAAAGTGCCGACCGGGGCGGGCCGCCCCTGCCGCCCCACTACGGTACGCCACTGTAATAAATATCTCAATCCTATTGCCTATTGTCAGAATCTCTAAGTAAATATATTTCAGATAACAGATGAGACGACTACACTATAAAATTTTAATTTACGTGGAAAATTTTTACGTGTAACAATTTTAATTTACGTGGAAAATTTTAATTTACGTTTCCGTTCAAGCCTAATCTATATTCTTATAATTTAATACAAGTAATTTGAGTCGGAACATTGTTCTTCATTCCTTAATCCTTATCCACACTAGTTGAGCGTGTTGTGGGTCGAATTTGCCTATACAGGTATACCTCGCCTTACGTCGGTAATTGGTTCCAGGAAAACGACTTAAGTCGAAAAACGACGTAAGTCGAGGTATGCCTGTAATTGAAATAATTATAGTCGGCCAGATAAAATGAATTGGCATGATGGGATACAGCAACGCAACACGTGCAATCTGCAAAGAAAAAATAGCCCCCGAAAAACTTTTATGGAAAAGTGGTCCCTATTTAGGTGTTAGACACATGAAAAAACTCCACGTGACTTAGGGCGCGTTTGGAAATTCTAACCTGTAACACCGCTATAGTGGTGATGATGTCATCGGTCATAGCCGGTTATTCCGAGCGATTAGCTCATTTTAAAATCACGGCCACATTCGTCACACGATACAATGTCTACCATCTTATAATTCAATAGTACCGCAGTAACCGCTTTGTCACCGTGGTTACTTCAATAGGTACCGCAGGACAACCAGTAACGTCATAACAATGATTTTTAAACGCAGTTAGTTATTTAGGTCTTATTTTCTAAACGTCTTGAAACTACCGGCAGTTACCGGTAACACCGGTTAAAATTTTTAAACGCTCCCTTGGTTAGCGCGAACCTGCAACCAACAACCAGTGTTTAGCTGTTTTTAGCCACTCGGCACCCGATGGTAAAATGGAAGAAAACTTAACAATATATATATATATTTTTTTAAATTATACATGTTTAACAGTTTTTTTATTAATAAAAAATTTCTTCGATAAAGTAGCATAAGACGTTAGACTCGGCCGAATGGCCGAGCGGTTGAAGTCCCAGCCTACAACTCTGAAGGACCTGAAAACAAGTCTGGGCGCTCAACTCCCCGGGATTTTTTTATAGACGATTTGTTCTCGATATGCAGGTCTCGTCTTTCACCATCTGGCCGAACCCATAACGTTTCTTGCTTAAAAAAAAAAAAAAAAAAAAAAAAAAGAANAGACGGGGGGGGTTATAATTAATAAAATAACTAAAAGTAAAAGATTTTCTTTGTTTTTTTAATGAAAACATTAATATACTTTTGTAATTAAATACGTTTTTGATAATTTATAATATTTAGAAATTGCTCTTGAGTATAATAAGGAGCTTTTAAAAGATAAATTTAGTAAATAAATATAAAGAACTTTAGTGAGTTTAGTAGTAGTAAAGGAGCTTAAGTATGCTCTTCACATAAAAATTCATTGTTTGATTATATAAATATCCTAATAATTAGCCATGTTCTGTGACAAATTTCTGTCTAAAAAGTTATATTAATGATTAACACTACTAAAAAAAAAATGCCCCCATTGAAAAGTCGTGGGGTTAAAGGACGGCTCCCACCAAATCGTTTATAACTGATTGTGACAACGGTAGTTAGTAACTGTAAATCGTCATAACCAAAACCATCTGCTTATATTGAAAACATGTGTAACACATCCAACCTACAGACATTCCATTGACATCACTTACGCTTAATCTTCTCTTGGGATTAGGAGCATCGCTGTATAAAACTAACGGTTGAGCCGTATTGTTTTTTATACACTCGACTCCTGCAGCTTCGGAACGGGCGCAGTCGTGTGTACCCCATCCGTCGAATCTACATAGGGATAAACTACTTTCTCCACCCTGACAATACAGATTGTCCATCCATATTTGCCCTGTAAAAGAGAACATTTTCAAGATCATACGATTAAATTTCTATAAAGTGCGTTACGCGAATATTAAAGGTGACATTCTTCCGTGTGTAAACAAAGAAAGAAAGAAAAAAAAAAAAAAAAAAAAAACGTGTTCACAGAGCGAAAAGAGCCGAAAAAATAGTGTTTTATGATGCCAATAACTCAAAGATTATATTGTATATTGCATTACCCACGCTATTATATTACTGTATGATGTTTTAAAATTTTTATTTTTAGTATCAACTATTTCCTATAAGTACTGAAATACATTGTAATTTTAAGTTGAATTTCAGACGAAACAATTATATACTTTTAAATTTAAATTCGAAACATGAATTAATATGATACACTACTATTTATTTTTAAAATTTATATTTACGAATATCTGTTTCGGCTTGGAAAAATTACATATAATCGGTAACGTGTTAATAACGTTTCAATTTATATAACCAACTTTTACAAAAGCGTCTCTTAGCGGACATATTGTGTACTATACGCAAGTTGAACGTCTGATCGGCAAAGTTTTTATCATCCGGACAGCGGTTTGTTTATGCTTTTATCAATTTATTTTTAAGTATTATTCTGTTGTTTTCAATTTTAATCGTGAACAACGACGTGAGAATATTCGTAAGGAAAGTAATACTGGATTTTATCTGAAAATTTTCCGAAATGCCTTCAAAAGCTGAAGACATTTTGAATGGATTCAAACTGTATCCTTTTTTTATAACTTATTTTAGTTTTAATTTATAATTTTGGTATTGAAATTGTTTTTATTTTGGTAAGTAAGTGTATTTATCAAACGTTTCAGTTGAATTGATTTGTCGGTTAAATTTCAGATACGTATACCGTCATGGCGGCTCATCTCTGATTCCAGCAAACAAAAGGAAACAGTGGGGACGCACGTTCTAACCTAACCTAACCTATTCTAATAATTTGGTTGGTAATAATTATGGTAATTTATTAGAATAGGTTAGATTAGATTAGAACGTGTGTTCCCACTGTTTCCTTTCTTTTGTTTGCTGGAATCAGAGATGAGCCGCCATGACAGTATACGTATCTGGAAGTTAACCGATTTGTCATTCATTTATTCACACTGTTCATCTCTTCAATAAATACGTGTTTATGAACTTAATTTAAACAAAGACTGAATAATTTATTTATTTTTTACAAAAAAAAACTAGTAGTAGATGTCAGTGAATTAATGGGAAGAAATTAGGAAGCAAATTTCTTGTGCCTTCTCTTCCCAATATGTTAAATATGGCTATGTTTAGCAGACTCAATGGTTGTAACTGAGCAAATCGGTAGCTGTTATGTAGCAATGTGGATCTGCTGAACGATGAGTGATGTTGCATTGGAACAAAAAGCCTTGGTTGGTTTCGGGTAGCGATAGGTAGCATAAATAAAAGACGCTACCAAATGTGATGTCAAAACATCAAATGTGTTCTGAAAGAGCGCTACCGCAGTTCAGAAAGAGCGCTATTTTTGTTCAACAGAAAAATACTTAATGACTCCGGAACTGTTGAGTCTGCTGAACACAGCCTATGAATCCCAGCTTTCAGCCATTTTTACAGACACTTAACGGTTTTATTTTAAATTATTTTTCACTTTTCTTAATATAAGATTTCTTTAAAAATATATCTTACTGGTTCTGTATTTGATATTCTGTTAACTTTGTATATTATATATTTCACATTTTATAATGGATTGTAAAATAAGCACTCTTTCCATCCTCCATAGATGTCTTATTTCCTGGGCGAGTTCTGTGTACTTGCTAATTTTTTCAGTGAATATGTTTTGTACATTGTGAGTGTTTGGAATGGCTATGTCTATAATGTATGTGATTTTATTGTTTGTCAATGAGTGTGATGTCTGGTCTGTTGTGGTAAATTGTTTTATCTGTGATTATGGCTCTGTCGTAGTACAGTTTGTGCGTGTAGTTTTCCAATACTGTCTGTGGAATATATTTGTAGTATGGTTCGTGGATGTCTGCCAATTTGTGTTTCTTTGCAAGCTCTTGGTGTATTATATTTGCTACTTGATTGTGTCTATGTAAGTAATCTGTCTATGCCAAGAGCTTGCAACCAGAAGTGATGTGTTGTATAGTTTTTGGCATATGACATGACATTTTCTGCATGTGTCATTTGTGAGTATTGTATCTTTGAATATGTGTTTTCTGTAGCTTTTAGTATTTATGACCTGATCCTGTATGGCAATCATGAATCATTCCATCTCCCCAAAGAGGCATCCCCGATCTAACCAGCTGTTTGATGCAGTTTTGTCAACAAAATCCTGGACCAGGTCATAAGGATGCCTGCCATGGAGTGCCTTTCAAGCCCACGATTGCTTAATGGTGTCTGTGTTTTTTATATGTTGTGTCATGTCTGTATGATGTGAATATAAGGTTAATGGTGTGTTATTTGAGCCTGCTAGAGTTACTGCTTTATGTAACTGTGATGTTTCCTGTAGAAAAACTCTCGTAGTGACTGTATTTGTTTGTAGGAAGGTTAACTATGTCAATCAGGCCACGTCCGCCATCTTTACAGGGAAGGGTTAATCTTTCTGTGGCAGATTTAGGATGATGTTGTTTATGCTTAGTAAGTGTTGTTCTTGTTTTCCTTTGGAGTTGCTCGAGATCTGTGTGAGTCCAATGTATAACTCCAAAAGAGTAAGTGAGTACTGGGGTGACATATGTGTTTATTGCTTTAACTGTGTGTTTTGCATTTAACTGTGTTTTTGAGAATGGCATTTAACCTACTTTGGTATTCTTTAATTAATCTTTGCTTTATTTGTGTATGTTCTGTGAGTTTGGCCTGTTGGAATCCTAAATACTTGTGGAACTCACCCTCTTCCATGGATTCAATAACTTCTCCATTTCCAAGTGTAAAATCTTTCTTCACGATTCTTTTTTCTATGTGAAGTGTTTTGCATCTAACTAAGCCAAACTCCATTTGTATGTCCTTGGTGTATGAGTGTGTGATTTGTAGGAGCTGCTGAAGTTGTTTTTGTGTGGATGCATAAAGTTTTATGTCGTCCATGTACATGAGATGTGACAGTGTAAACTGTGTTGGTTTTTCATGTCTGATATTGTAGCCATATTGAGTGTTGTTTAACATGCTGGATAATGGGTTTGGGGCTAGGCAGAACCAGAGAGGACTCAAGGAATCTCCTTGAAAAATTCCTTGCATAATGAATATTTCGTTTGTTTGTATGGAAGTGTTACTAACCATGAGATGCAGTGTTGTTCTCCAGTGCTGCATAGTGTTTTGGAAGAATGCAATGTGTGATGGATGTATTTTGTACATGTTTAGAATATGTAGCAACCAACTGTGTGGAACACTGTCGAATGCTTTTCTGTAGTCTATATATGCCATGTGTATGTTTCTGTGTTGTTTGAGTGCTAGCCATAGAATGACTGAATCTATGAGTAACTGTTCTTTGCATCCCCTGTGATTTCTACGGAAACTCTTTTGGTGTTCTGTAAGAATGTCGTGTTCTTCAACATGTTTGTATATTTTGTTTGTGATACAGGATGTCAATAATTTGTAGAGTGTTGGAAGACATGTAATTGGTCTGTATTGTGTCGGGTCTGTGGTGTTGTTTTTGGGTTTATTGTAGGTGATGCCCTGAGTAAGAAATTTTGGCATGTCTTGTGGATTGATGATGATGTGTTAGATGTTTAGCTAGTTCCCGGTGTAGTGATGTAGACTTTTTGTACCAGAAATTGTGAATGTTGTCTACACCAGGTGTCTTCCAGTTGTGTGTTCTGTTAACAGCGTAGCAGATGTTGTGTACGTTTATTTCAGCACAGGTCATAGTTGGTATGTTGTGCAAGTTTCTGTTCTCCTCCTCAATCCAGCCTACATGAGCATTGTGTGTAACAGCATTGGACCAAAGAGAAGACCAATAAGTTGTGAGTTTTTCTTCTGTTGGTGTGCCACTGTGCTGTGTTTCAGTATTTGTTTTGGTACTGATTTGTCTGTAGAAAAGTTTTTCGTTGTTTGCGAATAATTTATTTTGTTGTTTTCGTAGTGTACATGTTTTGTATCGTTTGAGTCTATGTGCTTTGGCTGCGAGTTTCTGTTTTAGTGTATCGATGTATTCTTTAATGTGTGTGTTGTGATATTCATGTTTTGTGTGTTTTGATTTTCTTGAAAATGTTTTTGAGTTGTTTAATTTAGATGTTATGTTGTTTTTAGTGTATTGTATCAGCCTGCCTAATTGCTGTCTAATGTCATTTATTTGTGTTTCTATTCTTCTCTGCCAGGCAGGCTTATGATAGAATTGTGTTTTGTGTGCGTCTGTCTGTGAGTGTATTTTCAGTCCATGGTGTGTTACTACTGTGACTGCCCCAGCATAAACTAATGTATGAATGTCTGTAAGTGTAGAAATTGAATGAATGTAGTTTGGTAGTAAGTGAGTGTTTACATAATCTAGTGTTTTTCCTACTGCCTTTGACGTGTTGATTTTTGGTATTCGTGGTCTTTGTGTGGGATCTGTACCAGTATATTTAATGAGTGTTTCCTGAAATATAAGTGAGAGCGTATTAACTAATTCTATGTCTACGTTATCAGTGATGGATGGGGAAGTGCCTGCAGTATCATTAGTGGTACTTGTTGTGTGTGTGCTGTAATCAGTGCTTGTTGCTGGATTATCCTGACAGGTTACGTGATCTTCATTAATGTTAAATGTTTCTGTCTGTTGATGTATTTGATCAGCAACCTGTTGTTTGATAAGTTCAAGTGTTGTTTGTGGGATAAGGTTGTTGTGTATAATTGTTCGTTTTTGATCAACAACCCTTTGTTCGGTGACAGTGAGGTGAGGATATTGTTGTGTGAATCTATGGTGTAGTTGTTGTCTGTATGCTGTCATGTTTGTTTCGAGTCTTGTGATGGTGTAGTAAGTACGGATGATAAACTCGTTCATTTCTGTTGTCCATTTCATCCGTTGGCGTGGTTTTCCAGCCTTTGTGGTCTGTGGATGCATTGCCACAGAAACACCAAGGCTAGGTTGATTCCTCACATCTGTTGAGGGCATTGCAGTAGCCATGCTTGGGCCGGCGCTGCTTTCGCCACCGGTAACCAAGGGAGACTGGAGCCTATTTTTCGAACGTGAGCCTCTGCCTAACCCACGAACGCGGACCTTGTTAACCCGGGCGACGTCCGAGCCGGTATCACACTTTGATCTGGTTACTACCATAATAATTATCTCCACAGAATGTGGGTGTGTGGTCACTCTTAGCTTCATTTCTCCCCATAGACCTTACTGGCATGGGTGTCCCTGCCAGGAGCTTGTGCTCCAGCCTGCATTACTCTATGGTTCAGTAAAATTACTGGGCTCTCCCACCATGACCAGGTGGTGACCATGGGAGAGTTATTATTATTATTATTTTTATTTTAAAATGAAAAATAATTGAATTTCATTAAGTAAATAAGTTAAGAAATAATAATACCAGTAATAGCATTAAACTTTTTGAAAAAGGGTTGTTGTTTATTTTTGTTACGTATAAAAGGAATTTCAAGTAAAACAATTGTTTTATAAGAAAACTAGCTGTTACCCATGACTTTGCCCGCGGAGGTTTTGCAAGCAAACCCCATTTATATTTAGTATTTCAACACCATAGTAATTGTTATATAACACCTGTTGCTGAGAATGATGAGAATTGCCGAGAATCAAACAAACTGTTTTCAATTTGATAAATTTTCTGGAACGT